TCGGCAATAATGATATCCCCCAACATATAAGATTAAAATATTTTATTTTTAAAATATAAATTAAAATATTTTTTTAAAATGAAGTAATGTTGAGGTGATTTTTCTCTTTACATTAAAAGGTAAAAGTGTAAAACGGAAAACTACTGATCCCAAATTTTATTACGGATAAGTAAAAGTAAAAAAAAGAAGAAAAAAACATTATTTCATTTTTTTCATCAAAGGGTTTTGGGCCTTCTCTAATTATTGGGCCTAGTTTGTTAATCACATGAAATTGCTAAAACACCATTAATGAATGAAATGAACGGAGTTTTATTAAGGGTTTTTGAGGATTTTCATTTTCCTTTTCTTTTTTTCCTATGTCTGCTGTGGATGGCTCTTGCTGTTCTACTATACAACTAGAACTGGTTAGGATTTAGAATTTAGAATTGAAAATGCTTCTAAATCAATCTAGGGTATTTTCTTCTGCCAGCTAGAGTTGATTGTTATGTTAGACTTTGTATTATGTACTTTTTCCAAATTTTAATACAGGTGATCTTCCAAAATGCTTTCAGGGGCTAGGTTTGGTGACTATGTCAGCTGTATTGACTTCTCTGAATTCTTATGGCTGCAAAAACACCAATGATTTGGCATCATGTTCTCCTTCTCAACTCATAGTGATGTTATTTATCTTCTCCCTATATCTAGTAGCAATTGGGCAAGGTGGGCACAAGCCTTGTGTTCAGGCTTTTGGAGCAGATCAGTTTGATGGAAAGCACCTAAAGGAGAGCATTGCCAAAAGCTCATTCTTCAATTGGTGGTATTTTGGTATATCCATAGGAGCCCTCCTGTCAATTTTGATTATTGTCTACATTGAAGACAATATTAGTTGGGCCCTTGGCTTTGGAATTCTCTTTATATTAATGCTAGTTGGTTTAGTGATATTTTTGGTTGGAACAAGGACTTACAGGTATAATGTCAAAGAAAATGGTCAAAATCCTTTTGTGAGAATTGGCCTGGTGTTTGTTGCTGCTGTTCGGAATAGGCATTTCATCACTCCTTCACTGACAGAAACTGAAGAGTTAGCTCATCAAAACCCCCCTCAGCAAAGTTCAGAACAATTCAAGTAAGAAGAAGAACCCTTCTTTTGTTTCCTTTTATACCTGTCAGGACAACATTTTCTTTCTGTAATGTCAAAATTGCAAAACTCAGGTTTCAAATGTTCTACTATCCTCCAAAAAATCAATCATTCTCTGTTTTTTACTGTGTATTAATTCTTGTTGTCTCATAACATTTGGATGGGATACTCTCTGTTTTCTGATCATATTCAAAATCTTGGTCTTGCTGGCAAGCTATTTTACTTTCTGCCTTGTTGACCAAGATTTGATCTATAGAAGATGCCAATGGGAGCTAATTC